GTTGATGGAGGAAGGTCTGCAACACCTAGGAATCCTAAGTGACTGCAGCTCCTAGGACTTGAGGGACTTGGTTGTGCCAGATTTCCTGCATCAAAGTATGACAGCCCCAGTATTTGAAGGCGTCGGGGTGCAGGAATTGAAGGAGAGTTCAGTGCTTTGCAATGCCTGCAATGCAAGCACGGAAGATAGTTCAGGGGAATTCTATTGAGGGCAGCTTTGCAGCTCTGCGTCCCTCTAAGAAGTTTTGCTGTAGGGACTGAAAGGGCTAGAATGGGGTCTGGGGCTATATCATACCTGAATTATATGAGGATCAAGAAGGAGATGATCTTGGTAATTACTCAGGCTTCTGCGCTAAAAATCCCTTCGAGACCATACGCCACACACAAGCCCAGTTTCCATTTCATTGTGAAAGCTCTTTTCCATCTGCTTTTCTATCGTTCTGAGTACATTTAGACCCCCAAACCCGGGTGAACCCATACATCCCTACATAATCTCTTTGCCCCTCCTTAAATAGATTGATGTAGGTGCTTCAGGTCCGCGGACCTGGGTTCCGGGTACATCCTGAAACACAAAAACACATGAGCTATAGTCTAAACTTCTGGTCGGACCCACGTAAGTCTTGGTCATTGGCAGGTGAGACGGTCGATCGGGTGTCGACAAGTCCGAATTGAGCGTTTGAAGCACCCTGTTCAAGAGGTCAATCTGCAATAGTCTAAACTTCTAGTGTCCTCCTTCATAACCCCCATAACATCTCTTATATAATTTTCTAGCTAAACACCTACTATTAAGGAGTTCAGACTATAGTCACATGTTCTTGCTTTAGTCCTGGGTTATGCTGACACTCATCGGACCTTGGAACGTGTTTTGCTGACTTAAAAATTCAGAAAAACGGCTCGCGCATCCCCTACAGTATACTCTCGTGCCTGATCAAAGCAAATGGGGTCCTACTAATGACTACAAGAACTACTGTCGGCCAATGTATCCGGTAGCTGACCACTGACAACACATGGCAAGAAACTTGCTGGTTGTTCGTAGGGATATTCTGGCCGGATCGCAATACCCTGGGGGTGTACCCCTAAACCCTGAACTCCTTTGGGGGAGGTACCATTGTAACCCTCATGTACCCAAATCCTAAACCCTGAACTAAATCCCTAAATACCTAAACCCCAAACCCTAAACCTAAACCACTAAACCCCCAAACCCAAAACCCCTAAATCCCTAAACCCTAAACCCTAAACCCCTAAATCCCTACATACTGTAGGTCCCAAGGCCAGGACGAAATAGGCGGAGGCGGTCGTCTGGGCCGGCCTCTGAGTCCTCTGCGAGCAAGAACACATTGTTTTGCGGGCGCGACGTGCCCGTTTCCAAAGGTCAACAAGTGATTAGGGTTCAAGGGGTTAAGGGTTTAATTTTGGGCTACACAATACCCCAGGTGGTGGAAACCTCCAAACATGATCTTTGTGTGGAGGATACATGTGTCTTAGAGGGTCTTGCTTGTAGCCAGATGCCCCGGCCGTAGTGACACAGCTCCCCGGAAGAACATGGAACCCCAGCCCACATCCACAATCTTGAAAAAAGCAGCGAGCCTGCGACGCCCCTACATTCACCAACGTCATTCTTCCCAAAGTCATTTTCAGATGCCTAGCGCGAGAGTTGAAAGTATTCACAATGATCAAGACGGACTTTGCTCCCTAAAAACAGCATCTGGAAGCAAGCATTGAATCAGCTACACGCCAGAATCGGATAAACGTACACGATGCAGGGTTCGAGGTTAAGGACGCTGTCTTTTCCATCGACTGATCCGTGCTTCGCATCTCTGAGCTCAAGCCAAGACAAGTTCAGGACCAAATTGCGAAAGCCGTCATCCAAAAACTTCCGTCATAACACCAAGTCCCTAAACCTTAGATCTTAATTCCTGAAAGCCCTTGGGGAAACCCATAAACCCTAAACCCCTAAACCCCTAAATCCCCAAGCCTCTAACGCAATTCACCCGTGCTCCTCACCGGACCGTAGGTTTCGACAGCCTTCCCAAGTGACCATAACTTGAGCAGCGTTTTTTGTGGTGGTTGAACCTGGTAAGATTATATTCCTTATATGAAATACTATACCCCAAAAGGAGGATACAATCTTATTCTACATTGGGTACCATAGTATCCACCAAATAAAATGCTACTCACTTGGAGGTTTCCAAAAAATGGAGCCATGTAGAGCTGTAGGGTTCAGGGGCTTTATAGGGATTCTGTAGGGTTTAGGGATTTTCCCCAATCAGTTTTCGTAAAATACCTGGAGAATCGAATGAAAAAAAAGGGACATGTAGAGGCTACGTAGGGTTTAGGGGCTATATAGGGATTCTGTAGGGTTTAGGGAAATTGCCCCTAATCATGCAGAACCAAATATGGAAAAGGAACATGGAGCATGAACTGAGGGTTTGCATTTTTCCTGAAATCTATGGGCAGCATTCTGGGACTTCTATAATTTCGTGATATATATCGGTCCCCCTGTTTATGGAGACTACCACAGTTGAGGCGGAGCAAGGGGGCAACGTGCCGCAATATATTATTCAGAATACATGAGGCAGGGTTTCCACGGAATGTGACCAAATGTGTATCCAAATTCGGGGGCCAGAAATTCAAATCCTACCATTAAGCGAATGCCGGAGAATCTAACGACGGACAGTCACATGGATACTGTGATTATGTTGCAACTTTTTATCGTAAATAGGGAGCCCCAGCATAGAAGCCTGAATGCTATCAGTGATCCTCATTCTCGAGACTCCCAAAAGCTCCAGATATATGGAAATGCACCCCTGGGCAATCACGAAGGGCTTAGGGATTAAGATCTGCGTTCCATGTTACGAAGTTGTAGGCACATGGAGCGACGGTGTTAAACCCTAAACTTCAAACCGCAATGGACCTTCGTACTGAAATCCTGGGGCTTGCCAGTGGCTTGTTCCTAGTCGCTGCTCTAGGGTTTATGGTTTAGGGTTGCGGGACACGGTAACCGTTGGCCCTGACAACCGCAAGCCAGCAGGTAAAACCTTTGGAGCTGGAAATTCTGGGGCTCAACCCGAAGGTCCTGAATGGTTTAGGGATTTAGGGTTTAGGGCTTATGGTCTAGGCTATAAAATATATGAGCTACTGTCTAAACTCCTAGTATCCCCCTTAATATCCCCTATAGTAGCCCCCTATATAATCCCCTATATAACCCCCCTTTAAAGGAGTTTAGACTATAGCTCATATAAGCCAAGAATCACAAACCCAGACTTTAGACGCTGCTTGCCAAAACCTTGAACTCGAAATCCTGCACAATAAGCAGGCGGCCAATCTGAATCTAAATCAGCAAGCCCTAACATTCGCAGGCTGAGGGGCTCTACTTTCTAGATTCTGGGGGCGCGGCAAGCCGCTCTGCTGTACATACCACGGAGAATAGCTTGATCATTGGTACTTTTCATACTCCTGATACAAATACCCCAAGGGTCCAAGTACCTAATAATTCATATACTTCCGCAAAACCTGTACTAGAAGTACGATTACCCAAAATCCAAGTACCCAATTATTGGTTACTTGGACCCTTTGGGATAATAGAGTAGGCAGGTCCGACTGCGATTCCTGCTCTATGGGACCGATGATTAGGGTTTAGGGTTTAGGGTTTGGGGTTCAGGGTTTAGGGTCTAGGGCTTAGTGTTTAAAGTCTGTCTATGATCATGTTCTTTCCGCTGCTGTCGTCTCATCAGCAAGAGTTATCCAAAGTGCGGCCGCTACTGCTGTGCTCATGAGTCCCGTTCTACAGATGACTTGCCCCTTGCCCCTGTCTACACCCAATCCTCCTACCAATGATCATGTCCCCGCAGCTGAAAAAACTATTCATCATGAGGGGGCTTTCTCTCCTCCAGCACGGCGGTAGCCCCAGAAGCCAAAACGAAACCAAAGCCTCTCCCTGCACAAGAAGAACATTTCCTGCGTTTCTTGCGGATATTAATCCTAGAAGAGGAGATTATAACTCATCATGACGATGTTCTAAAGCTGCCCTAAACTGGGTTGTCCTTTAAGCCCTTTGAAAATTATTTACCATTATGGTTCTTTGCAAATTAATAGGGGAAACTAGAAAGATCCCAAAGGACAACCCAGTAAAGCCGGAACCCTCACTTTTGCAGAAGGCCTTTTGAACTGGTTGCGGCCGCGGCAGCCACTGAGGTACTGTCGCGTCGTCGTCGCCTCTTGGGTTCATAGTAATGCTATGAATCTAGGGCAAGGAAGGTAGTCCCCATTAAGCGGATAGAGGAATCTGGGGTAGATGGGCATCGAATTTTACTATTGGGCAGTTCCATATCCTATCCTTCTTGAGGACTATATCTCGACCTCCCAATATTCTAAGAAAAGAAGGGTCAGGAAATTCCAAAAGCTGTATATAGGCTGTTATGCCAAGTTTGGGAGAAATGTCATCTTCCCCCAGACTAGCATGAAAACAGCTTTGACCTTTCTTGAAAAAATGATCGACTTCAAGGGGCACCTATTAGGGTTCCATCTTCTCTTGGGGGAGTGTATACTGATAGAACACCTGTGAGACTTCGATTCAGTAAGCAGCCTTCATTACTTGCTTCGCACGAATCGGTCCGAATCTATGCGCAGTAATGGAGACATATGGTACTTTCCCAAAATAAGGGGACCCCAATATAGACCCACAAATACTATAATCCTTATTATTGGGACCCCCAAAATGGTACCCCTAATTATGGGAAATACCCGTATGAAGACGCGGGAGCTGACGGCCCCAAGGCATTTTGGTCATATCAAGGAGGATGGCAAGAAACGGTTCATTGAAGCTTATCAATTGGGTAGTGCTTGTGGTGGGCGAACCAATACGATTCGATTCATCATTATAGGCTGCTAAGATCTAAACATATTCTATATTATACTGGGAGGGCCATAGCATGATCTCTCTGTGACATGCGCCCCCCGTTGTGAACCCCAAGCTAATTTTGACGCCTGGGAGCTCCGTGCCTGTATGAGCGAATCGACATGCATCGCCGTAGTTGCACTTTCCCTCCAGAAAGTGTCGACAAACAGGCCTCCCAACACAAAAAGTTTGAGACTTTCATAAAGGAGGCCTGCGGGAGAGGTATGCCAACATCTCCCATGCTCCGCTCTTCTATATGAACTCCCCTACTCGATCCCCTGCTCAGCAAGAACAACACACTTCTAGCTGGGCTTTGAAAACTTCCGTTGTAGTCAGCCTGTTATTGCGTGCAAATGCGGAGGAAGGCTTAAAATCGCATCATGCGTTCGAAGACAAAACACAAAATTGTATGTGCAGGCTGTCCAGAAAACAGCCAAATCGGCTGAAGACTTCAAGTACGAACACTCAAACCCTAAACCCTAAACTTTTCGGCACACAGCCCGGATGCGACAACCCGACAATCATGGCTTAACAGCTATGATGCAGTCTCTTGCCCTGCAATGGACAAACTGAAGGGTCGCCCAAAACACTAAACGCCTACCCGCCCAAACCACTAAAAGCAAATAAATGGGTTAAGGGTTTGGGTTGAGGGTTTAGGGTTTAGGGTTTAGGGCTGTCGCAGGGTCCCAAAAATGAAGCTGGACCCTTCAGGTCAAGGGTCCATAGACACAAAGCAAGGCTCTTGGTGCGAAGTTTGCTACATACTGCTTTTGAAAATTTCTACTGCGCAGCAGCTTTCCGAGGAACTACGAGATCATGATTTCAAGCAACAACTTACACCCCTTAATCATGAAAACGCTTGAAGACGATACAAATTCTGCGAGCTGCTGCCGCAAAGAGTTGCAATGCTGCAGGAGATGGAAGCCCACCCTTCGTAAGGAAACTGCTTCCAAGCCCGGGAGTTGTTTTTTGGAGGACGGGAGGGGTGGAACAGGGTTTGCTACCTGGGTTGGCCCCTAAAACCCTTGAAAAACATTAATATATAGGGTCCCCTATTAAAGCCATTAGGGAAAATATCAAATATCCCAGGGGCCTACCCAGCTACTTAGTGCGGAGGGATTGCTGGGAGTGAAGAAGTCCAAGAGCCAGGTCGGAAGCATACAGTTCCCTAGTATGTCACGCTGCACAGACAGCTTCCATACAGTACCCAAGGACTCCTATGTAGTTCCTTTTTGGGGGCCTGCTATTTGGGATGTTTGGGGTAAGGCTTAGAATATACTACCCGAAAAGGAACTACTTTGTAGCGTCTGGGCAAACACAACCCCTCGAACCACCAACGACTAAGCTTGTCACAACATGCACTCTGAGCTGGGTTGCTGTTAAGGAACTTAATCCAAGTTACCATAATGGATATTCATATAGAGTAATCAATCTGGTTTCCCAAATATGGTAACTTAACTTAAGTTCCTGAACAGCAACCCAGAAATATGGACCCTGAAGCTCGCAAATCAAGCTGAGCTCCGACCTGGCTTCCGCTTCTGGGAGCGTGTGGCCATACGGCACCTTTGTGCCGTTGATTCGGGTGCTTAGGATGCAATTCAGGGCGACTTAGTGAGGAGGTTAATGGCAACGAAAATGGAAGCTACTATATTATTTAGGGTTTAGAGTCTAGGGTTTAGGGTCAGGGGGACTTAGTATGTAGGTTAATAATGGGAATAATCAGGGTTACTGTATGGGTTATATGGGTTATTAACCTACTTACTCAGTCTGCTCGATCCTCCAACTAGGGATCTGAGAAAATGAGTGTATCTTTGGAGACCCCAGGGATACATTTGGGATTTTGAGTAGAGTTTTGCGTCTGCCCCTCACGAATTCCTTTGACTTGGTTTTGTGAGACGCGGGGGGCAGCTCCGACCCTGAGGCTTGGGGAACCTTTCAGCCCCTCTGAAGACAAACATGTCTCAACAAAGCCTGAGCTGCACACTCATCTTGACCCTTTAATTGCTGGGTACAACCCACTAAACTGAGGGCAAGAAGAATTCACATTCAAGAGCCAGGCCAAAGTCTCCTAGCTTACTGTTCAGGAGCGTGCGTTCACATGTCTTCCAAGGGAAAGTTTTAAATTGAATCTGGAAACTGGAAACGGCGACATCCAAGCAAGCGACTCAAAAAACTCAATCATGACCGCAAACCACTTAGCGGGCTTACTCTTTTGGGACGGGCAAAGCAAGAGTGTGCTACCACTGGGGCCAGCACTGGTGTTGCTGTCAAAGCAGCGGCTATCGCTGGGTCGAGGGTGACTGAACAGCACACGGCTCGGAGCGAAGGTCTCAGGGCTTCGGTCTTGTGGCATGTAAGGCTTCGGGCCGGGGCAGCTCAAGGTTCAGGATTCGTACAAGTCAAGGCTCAGGATTCAGGACTTGCATTGGCACGCGGAGCTCAACGAGGATCTTCTGGAAAACATGCGAGTGCAATTCATAGCTAACTGCCACAAGAACACATGAGCCAATGATCTACTGTAAACTCCTAGTATGCCTCTTAATACGCTCTATAGTAGCTCCCTATATAATCCCCTACATAACCCCCCTTCAAGGAGTCTAGACTATAGCTCACATTACGTAAGGGTACCTGCGCTTTGAGCCTCCCCAGTCCCCCTTCCCTTGCCATGGGCCTCCAAGCAGGACATCCTAGGACATTTCTGTGCAACCTGCAGGTTGTCTACAGATGGAGCTTGCGAGGATGGACAAGCGTACCACGCAAAAGGACCCATTGGGGTAATATTAGGGTAGTATAGGGGCAATATTGGGATAATGGAAAAGAAAATGGAAACTACTATTTAGGGTTTAGGGGTTTAGGGTTTAGGGACGATGAGCATGATGGAGTTTGAAATCCGCCGTTGTCACGGACTGCAGAATTGGCTGAGCACGCGGGCCCATTTCATCGTTCCATTACGACATGTAGAAAGCCCGGGGTGTGGCTTGAAACATCAAACCCAAAACCCCAAACCCGTAAGCCCTAGATAGTAGTTTCCATTTTCTTTTCCATTCTCCCAATATAGCCCCTAGAATACCCTAATATTACCCCAATGGGTCCTTTTGCGTGCATAAGCAGACCTGATCCACTTGCGAGACTGAAACCTCGCATTCTCTGGTCCTCATTTCCGACCCAATGAACTTCATATGAGCCATAGTCTAAACTCCCAGTTTAGATTATGCTTCATATGAGCTATAATCTAGACTCCTAGTATCCCCCTTAACAACCCCAAATAGAGTCCACTATAGGATCCCCTACAAACCCGCCTTCAAGCAGTTTAGACCCTGAACCCTGAACCCTAAACTCTAAATAGTACTTTCCATCTTCTTTTCCATTATCCGTATCTTCTTTGTCATTATCCGTATGTAATCCCCTATATAACCCCCCTTTAAGGAGTGTAGACTCCAGTTCAACATGAGGCCTGCATGAGAGAACTGGCAATGGCTGCCAGAAGCACACTTCCTTGGCTCTGGACTCAGCGCTTCCGAGCTGAGGGTTTAGGGTTTAGAGATTAGGGTTTAGGATTTCGGGTTTAGGATTTAGGGCTTAGGATTTAGGATTTAGGGTTTAGGATTTAGGGGTTTAGGTCTTAGGAGTTAGGGTTTAGGTACAAGAATAAGGTAGGGCTTAGAGTGCAAGGCTTGTGGGCCAGAATGTTGGCTTCCAAAATTCAAGGATGGCCATGCATAGAGCTTATGGGTATACCCTCGGGCTCCTGTGTAATTCCTTGTTGGGTCTGTTATTTTCGGAAAGGGGCTAGAATGTACGACCACAAAAAAGTACATTGGAGGGTCGGAGTAGTGACTTGTTGGTAATTGCACCAAGATTATACCATGCGCGAGATCAATAAACAATGTGCGGGCTTCAACTTATGAAGCTTTTAGCATGTCCCTTGGCCATGGAAATCACGGAGACTCTTGGTGTGAGACTATCCTCAACTCTATCCGTTCCCCCCGAGCCCCACGAAGAAAAGCCACAAAACCTACATAAACCCTAAATGCCAAGCCCCCATAAACAAGAATGACACAATGCAGTTTGGGTTGAGGATTACGGCCGCCCCCTTTCGATATCCGCGTTTGAGCCATGATTCCCGAAACTGCACAACGAATGGTCTCACCTTTTTGCGTTGGCACCGTTTGAGAGGTGCGTTATGTAAGAGAAGAGTAAGTTTTGGTGGAAGGAACTGCTGGATCTAAGTCCGTAACCTCGACAGCCTATCTACTCCTTACACCTGATGTCTGTATCCAGTCCTCAGAGAGCCAATGTTGTAAATCACTCCTTTTATTTCAGGGTATATCGGAGGAGCCCTCCCCAACCATCTTTGCCAGGATTCCCCTCCAGAAAGAGCCTGCAGATGGGCCTGTCACACTCTTAAAGAGTCACTGAGAACTCTTCAGGCGAAAACAACAGCATTATAAGTATATAGATGAAAAGCAACATGGTACCCATGAGGAAAATGAGCAGCAGCTAGGGTAAACCTACTGGCAATGATGCAAACGGCCCTTTCCCGCGGAGGCCCATAGGGTTCCGCAAGCTCGCTAGGGGACAAAGGCGTTCAGGTCATAAGAGAAGCTTGCGCGTTTCATTACTTGCTTCAGGGTTCCGGGTCAAGCACGATCCTTGAGTGACTTGCGAACTGAAGGAATGGACTTGTCAGCTTTGACAGTCTCATGGGCTTAGGAGTTGAGGGTTTAGGGTTATTGGCCTGGTTCCTTTGCAGGTTTAGGGCTCGCGGGTTTAAGCTCAGGGGAGCACTGAAAGGGGATGCCTAACACATGGGGAATAGTGTTCAGCGTTATTCGGGTACCTCGCGAACACCTGGTAGTTCGGGTAGGAAAGGGACCCTTATTCTAGCATGTACTGGCATGCGGGTTGGGGGTTTGGAAAACTGGGATGGAATGCTTTGTTGATATGTGATGTTTAGGGCCTTGGAGTCTAGGCTGGGGCTCTCGCATGTCCACTGCGCAACCCAGCGGCGCGACCACTGCTACCAAGGCCCACCGCATTGCTAATCGAATGAAAGGTTGCCACTTGCTTTGAGACTTTCGGTTTAGATATCACAAAGGCGATAGGGATTTCACACACCATCTGCCCTAGCCCTGAAGCCCTCATCCAATCCAAACCCTACCTGCAAGGACTGAGGTGCATGTCAAAATCACACGGCGTGCGGATGCTGATCCGTAGAAGTCTCACTTCTCACCTAGCAGGAAGACGGCTACATGCATACAAGCCAAGTGTAAGCTCAAACCTTGAAGGCGTAGCCTAAAGCAATGTTTTCAAAAAATGGGTCTTACACTTTTGTATGATTTACTCGCGGACTCCCTTCAATTCAATCTCGAAATGCCACAATCCTAATTACAGGCACTCAGCCCTAAACCCTAAACCCCAAGCCCCAAACCCTAAACCCTAAACCCCTAAACCCCTGAACCGCCACAATCCTTATTACAGGCACTCAGCTGGAGCGATCGGGCATTTTTTGCGTCGCCAGAGCGTCGAGTCACCCAGCTCTTCAAATTGAAGGCTTATGGGTTAAGTCTAGAGTGGCGCTACAGTGTTAACCCTAAAACCCTAAAGCCTAACTCCTAAAGCCTAAACCCTAAATCCTAAATCCTAAACCCTAAATGTTCACTACTGTCAATTTGCTTTGCTTTGTGGCTGGCAGGTGCCATGCGGTTCTTGCATGGCTGAGGAACACTTTGCATCTAGCATAAGCTCGAATTTCGCACATCCCAAAGTGGAAGATCAACGCGTAACCCTCACGTCGACCTGAGCTCCAATCTTGTAGGTCGATGTGAGGAGCACCCACATTGCAATAAGTCCCGCCCAAAGGCCTGGTATTGAGCCTAATAATATACACGCCATAGCCCCTTTCGCGGACTGTCTCTTTATGGGGGGGCTGAACCTCTGCAGACTCCTAATCCCCCCTCCCAAATCTCGAAGAATCGCGAAGAACAAAACCCACCTGCCCTAGAAATTCTGGTGCTTACGTGCCGGGGGGTTGGAAATGTGAATATTCAGGGGGTTCGAGGATCCGCTCCTCCACTCCCCCTCTGGCACTAGCCAGGCCCCGGAGCCCTAAACCCAAAACCCAACCTAGACCCCCCAAGTACCCTAAAATAGGGTCTATGTAGCTTTTATTGGGGGATACTTAGGGTCTATAGAGGGTACTTGGGGTAGGAATAGTACAAGGTTTAGGGTTGAGGGCCCGGTTTCCAGTATGCTTAGCCAACATAGATATCGACACGCATATTTTCAGCACCACAGCTAAGGCTGGCACCTTCCGATCATGCGGATCCCCAGATTGAGGGGCTCTACTGAAAGGACACTACTAGGTTGCTGTTGAGGAACTTAAAAAAATAATAATATGTGTACATTGCAAATACCAGGGCTTCTTTACCTAAACCCTAAACTCTAAACCCTAACCCCCCTAAATTGTAAGTTCCTCATGTAGCAACCCAGACTAGTTCAGACGCCGTCTCAGCAAGTCTTGAACGGAGCTACAATCTCCTGAGCATGATGAAAGATATTTTGAGAAATACAAGGGTTTTGGACTTAGGGTTAAGGGTTAAAGAAGGGCTTCCTGAAAGGTTCTATGCGTGCATGTAAAGGTTATATTGAGTTTCTACAGAGGATATATAGTTCCATGTACATAGGGATTTACCCCCATAATGTAGGATCACATGGAAAACTTTATGGGAAGGAACTCGTACATATTCGGATCGTAAAGGGCTTTGTAAGCTTTATCGCTTAAGGCTGAAGCTTTCGCAGGGTTGAAAAGGTGTGTTTGCGGGCTTTCCGTAAAACTGCATGGCAGGTCCAACGGCCTTTGGACCCCAAATGGTTGATGCAAGGACCCGTCAAGGCAGATGTATCATGTTGAGATCCGCCCCCCGCACGCACAGGCGCTATTTGCTACAGAGCTGCAGCCTGCGTAAAGCGGAAGAGTGACTAGACGGTCACATTGCGAATGCTGCCCAGTCTCCTCCATACTCTGGGTGACCCCATGTCACCACGGCGCCGCTGTCTAAGATAGCTGCGAAAGCCTGCATCAAATTACGGGGGGTGAGCAGGCTCTGTGGGAAGGAAGACATTATTAAATATTATGTAGAGATTACATAGGGGTTATATTTTCCTTATTCTCCACTAACCCCCAGGAAGAGAATTTTGAATTGCCAACACGAAGCATCCCAAGAACTAGCCAGTACATATGCAGGACAGGAGTTGACACTGCAAGAGATTCTCAATGTCCCTGCTTGCACTTGCATAAATCCATAAGGACCACCGTGACAGCTGGGTTTGTGCTAAGAGGAAGAAGACCTCCAATCCTATCCCAATGACATCCCCACCTAGTCAAGCTCAGAGGAAGAAGCTTGCATCCAGCTTGTAACAGAAAAAGGAGCCAAATTTGAATAGCACTCGTACTATGCAACTTCTACGTAACTCCGTAGATCCTACGGTCTCCAACCCCACACAACCTAAACCCCAGACAATCCCCACTCGACCCCCAAACCCCAAACCCTCAATCTGTAAACCCCCCCAAACCCAAAACCCAAGAAACCCAAACCCGCAACCCCACACCCTGAAAACCCAAACCCTGAATCCCAAACCCTATGAACCCAAATCCTATAAACCCTAAACTCCATGGACCCTAAACCCTATGAACCCTAAACCCTATGAACCCTAAACCCTATGAACCCGAAACCCTAAACCCCTAACCGCAAACCCTGAACCCTGTAATCTCTTATATAACACCCTTTTTAGCTCATAAGAACATATATATCCCTAAGCCCCAAAACCTGTATGATCCCCTATATAACCACCCTTTTAGACAGAATATGGCTTTGAGTCTATTATATAAGATCCCCGTATACCCCATATTTCATCTACTTAAGGTGGACTATACCCTAAACCCTCAACCCCACATTCTATCTACTTGAAGGTGACTATACCCTAAACCCTGAACCCTTAATCTTCTATCTACTTGAGGGGGACTATATGAGCTA